GAAACTAAGTATGCCAAAAGCGTACTAGTTTCAGCCTTATCGCTCTTTGTAAAGCGTTTTTTCAATTTCAGCAAGAAATTTATTTGCAGTAGTTACCTTATCGGACACAGCGCCCCTGAATGATTCTAGAATACCACGCTTCATGATCGTAAAACTCATGCAGTTTGAACAATCCCACTTATCAAAGTCCCTGTTTTCATCAACAGAACTTTTATCTGTAAGTGCAGCGGGTTGTTCAGTCCTTAATGCAAGGTCTAAGTCCATGCAGCCAAGAATGATCACAATGTTCTCTTTTCCCGTCCTTAAAGTTGGTTCCATTGAGTACAGGAATGGAGCTGATGTTGGCAGATATTGTGGAAGTTGATGGATTAACTGAACAGAGAAATAATACTGAATTAACATGTTCACATAGGAATCCATATTAAACAATTAATTAATTCAAATAATGGTAAACCTCATTACAAGAGACCGAGCACAACATTGATATTTAGTCTTTGGACAGAAATTCCAACTTGTAAGTGGTACTCTTGGTGTAGTAATCAAATATTGACAATAAACCATATCGAACAATATACCTATCTTTGGATCGATTTATTGTTCACATAAAATAAAAATTTATAATTGTCACATATTTATTATCACAGGTATGTAAGTAATTTGGCCAAATATTAACATTCCTTTGGGTCGGTCAATACCCACATGAATTACGTACACACAACCTTTCTAATAGTCCAAATAAATTAATTTAGGCAAGAGAAGTCACTTTGATAACATGTTGCTTCAATCATTTCATTAGAAAAATTAGTAATTCAAAAGAAATACCAAAATTTGAGTTATAATTTTTAATTGTTACTTCTTTTATCTTATTTTGAAACTTTAGGGGCCTAGGGTTAATAATTCAGAACTTTAGGGATCCAAAAATAATTAACTAGAACTTTAGGGGTCAATAATTAATTATTGGAAACTTTATGAGTCAAAAATTAATTATTCAAAAACTTTAAGGATCCAAAAATTATTTATTGAAAAAACTTTAGGAGTTAAAAATTAATTATTCAAAACTTTAGGGGCCAAATTTTAAAAATTTAAAACCGGGGCCAATTAGAACAAAATCAGAAACTTTGAGACTTTAAATGCAAAACAGAACTTTTAATGGCCCAAAAATAATTAATTTTAAAACTCGAGGGGCTGAATTATCAAAATCCATAACCTTAAAGCTCAAGTTGAATGAACTTTAAACTTTAGGGGCTGAATAACCAAAGTTGCAAACTGCAGGGGCTTAAACATTAAAATTAAAATTTCAATGGTCCAAAAATAATTAATTTTGAAACTTGAGGGACTGAATTATTAAACCCGAAACTTTAAAGGCCCAATTGGATGAATTTTTAACCTTAGGGGGCTGAAACACCAAAACCTTAAACTTAAAGGGCTGATTAACCAAGGTTGTAAACTGTAGGGACTTAAACATTAAAATTAAACTCTAATTTAAAATTGCAACCAAGGACCTCAAAAACTTCAAATTTACAACCCAAGCCCCCGTCCCCGAAATTCATCCAAACCCTAAGATCCAAATTTTATTTCGACGATGACACTGCAATGTCCTTAAAGTCTATATGCGATGGATAGGCTCATGTAACAATGATATATTTGTAATTGTATCACAATTTTTTTTTATTATTAAACTAGGTAATACGGAAAAGACCATAGCTTACATTCCCCACCCCCCCCTACTCTTTCCATTGTTCCTTTGTCTCCCACTCTCATCATCATTGTCACCATCGCCGGCGCCGCCCCCAAAATCCGGAGCAGCGCTCGCCGGCGCTGCTCTACGCAGCAGCATGCACTGCTGTTACGCTGCAGTGTAATAGCAGCCACGTTGCGTTTGTCCCAAAAAAAAAATTTTAAACCGAAATTCTGAAAATCTTTAAAATCAACCGAATTATTTTCAAATTTAATAAATCTAAATCCGAAATTATTAAATTTGAAAATCATGAAAATATACAACAACCAAATTAAAAATTTTGATTCCTAATTATTTAACATGAATAGGCTCTGATACCACTTGTTGGAACTTTATTAAAACTTAAATTTTATGATTTTGTCAAGATCTTCATGTCAAACCATCAAGAAATTGAATTAACACAGAACATATCTTAATCAATTGATTTCTGACTTGAATAATTAATTTTGAATCTTGATCTGTAAATCTTCAATTTGGTTGCTTCGAATCTCCATATTAATTCCTGATTGTGGGTTTATAAATCTTCCTATTCATATGCTTTCTCTTGTATTCTTGTGTTGATGGGATGCCATAAAAAATGAGAAAATCACACATGAATTGGGGACCATAACCCTTTATATATTTCCATATGTTTTGGCCTTTCGTCAAATACAAACCCTAATGGATCCGGTTTCTACACATATAGTCCGGCCCACACTTTAATTAAATGCTTAAAACCCA